CTTGTATTGCAGTCAATGGAAACAATTTTGAACAGCTTTTATAAGTAAGTGAACTGTTAAACTGTATTATTTTATTATCTCGATTTCTGTAGGACTTTTATTACATTTTTTTGAGAAATCAACAGTACATATGTGGTTAAAATTTGTCGGATAAGTTGTGAAGCACCCTGTATAGATTTCTCTGTATATTTGTCTTTAAGACTTAGAATGATACCGCGTCTAGCAACCGTCGCTAGCTAGCAATTTCTAGACAGTTGCCTAATTGTATGAGTCTCTTTGAATAACCCGATCCATTTATTTCCTCTGTTATACATGTTGGCAGTTAACGTTGTACTGAGAGGTGCCATGCGTTCCTCAAATATTAATAAAATTGGGAAAGCGCATTAAATGTATTCTAACTGGACGTAAATGCTTCTAACAGATGAACGAGGGGACCATCTTTTCGGTTCATATTGACCCACTCAACGACCATGTGGAACCGGAAGCAATCGTCTCCTTTCATTGATGCTCGGCCACCCAGTATACCTGGGAGTGGAAAATTTCTTTTCTAACAAATACTCGAAGGTTTTGTCGAAATACGACAGCACAAAGTGCCATCTATTACGAGAAACGACCACTGTGAAAGCAAAAACATCAAGCTGTCTGTTGGAACTGTAATCCAGTTCAAATTGTCATCCGGCTGGAGTATTACGTAACTTGAAAAGAGACATCATGTCAGTTTTTTGAAATTATGAAGGTTTTTCATGACATTATATAGGTTTTCCTACAAGACGTGTCAACTTGGAACTAGCTGTCGTTCACTTCATGCTCACTTGTAGCAAGCGCGGAATGTCCTATTTGCATACGAGCCTACCTAGTCAAGAAGTTGACCTTTTTTCGGTTTTTAACACGCTTTTATAAGCTTGGCCTGGATGTATTTAACGGAATCTTTGAGCATAATTTTCAGCAATTCCCAGAAGTTTAATTAATTTGAAACTTCGCACACGTATCAAGGACCGATGAAAATGCGATAATTTGATAACAGTTTTCCATTATCCTTATTAGGACCGCCAGGATTGATAAATCCTTTTATAGATCCTCTGTAGGGGAGTAAGAGAGATAGAGCTAGCGCGCGAACTGCGCATGCATGCAGTTTCGGACTTACTCTTTGTTGATTCGGGCACTTGGCACATCACAACGGAGGCAGATACTTTTTCAAGGTAGTGCATTCTCACCTTGTTCATTGCGAATGTTGCCATTAATCCTGAGTTGGGCTTTGACCGTACGCATGATGCAAGGTTGTACAGTGGATCATGCAGTCATTTATCTAGGCTCCCGACTGTTTGCTGCTGGACAAGCTTATAAAGCACTTAGGCGTGTAAGACCTTTAGACGGTATTCGGATTGCTCTACATAAGTTAACAGGGAAAACTCCATGCAACAGTGAAGCTTTAAATGAAATGATTAGATTACAAAATGATTCGCAAGACATTTCACTACCCCATGTCCACAAAAAACTAATTGATGAAGCGAACTAAAAAATGAAAAATAAATAATGGTTTAAAAAAACTAAAAAACAGGCTTTTATAGCTAACAGAACTAAAAATTAAAAAACGATTTCTAATTACAAAGAGTTTATATTACAGTTGTAGATGGTCGAACAATCAATTGTAATTAATAACCTCAAAATAAAATTATAATAAAATTCAAGTTATTAACAGAATAATTCAATTCAGCGTAAAAAGAGTGGGTGCATTTTACCTCATTTTCATAACTCTCCTCCCATAGATAGTTGCCAATAGAATGATTATAACATTTAATATATCAAGCACCTCACGCTTTTTATTCTGAATTTAATTATTCTGTTAATAACTAAATTTTATTATAATTTTATTTTGGTCATTAATTATGATTGATTGTTCGTTCAACTACTACTGTAATATAAGCTCTCTATAATTAAAAATTATTTTCTACTTTTTAGTTCGGTTAGCAGGTTTTTTAGTTTTTTTTTAATTAGTTATTTTTGACATTCCATCGGTTTTTTACGTAATAACTGTGCTGCGGCACGGGTATTACGTATCTTGAAAAGTGACATATTGTCGGTTTTTTTGGCATTTCCGCTTTCATTCGTTATCCACAAAGACCAAGTCTGCACCATCCTGAGGAGTTGCCAAGTAGCACGAAACAGCCATGGCTGGCGGTCTGTGGTCGGACGAACGAAAGCGATATACGAAGTTTGTTCAAAAAGTATCGCGAATTTATGTTGGTACTCATGACGCTTATTAATGTTGACAATATCGGCCATTTTGAATATTCGGTCAGTTTTTGACAGCTATTGTGCGTGGACGTGTACGAGCCCCTTCCCACTTCAGTTGGCCCACTTCAAGATTTGTACCAAAATATGCCTTTATAAACTAAACATGACAAAACCATTTACTTCTAAAACAATTTATTTTCTCAAAAACATTTTAGATACACTCTAGTCGTAAAAAATACATATTTGAAATCAGTTAGACCTATAACTAATAGAACATCGGAACAAATAAACAATGTGCGAATAAATGCGCGAAGTTAACAAAGCAACAATTGAAAGATTACCATTGGGTAATATCACCTTTATTTTTCATTACGGCTGAAATTCTTTGGGGCATACTGTTAACCAAGTTTTGGCAAAAATTTGGTGTAAATCAATCCCATATTTCTTGAAACTTTTGTCTCAGTTCGGTGATTGTACGAGCAGGATGTTGTCGTAGAACCTTTTTCATCTCGTGCCACAAAGTTTCAATAGATGCAGATCTGGACTGCTAGAAACCCATTTCAAAAGTGGTACATTATTTTCTTCCATCCATTTTATAGCCTTTATTGAGGTATGGCACGCTGCACCATCTTGCTGAAACACAAAATCTTGGCCGGATGTTAAACATTCGTCCATCACTGGTACAAGCGATTCTTCTAAAATTGCCAAATATTTGTTTGTATCCACATTTCCATCAATAAAATTAAGTTTACGCACTCCTTTTGATGACATACTGCCCCAGACCATAATGGATGCCGGAAATTTCACTTTTCTCTTCAGACAGTCGACATGGAATGCTTAATTTTTTTTTGCGAATAACTCTACTGCGACTGTCACCAACACAAACTTCGAATCGGGCCTCATCACTCCATTGTATTGCACACCATTGTTGAGGTGTCCATTGTCTATGTTCTTTAGCCCATCTAAGCCGATTTTTCTTTTGCAGTGGAGTTAATAGTGGCTTTTATTTGGCCTATAAACAAGTTGTGCAACTTTAGGTTTTTTACTTAACTTTTTTTTATAGGAAAACTTACCTTGCAAGTGCTAAATCCCAGTTTGTGTGCCTCGCTATGAGTTGTGCACCTCGAAATTCTCCTTCCAACAGCGTCACTCCACAAAGCACTTAATTGTAAATAATTGACACGCCTGTTTTTCACGATTTGTGATATTACTTTTTTTCACATATCGTGGCTTAATATTAACTGAACCAGTTACGTTATATCTTCTAACAATATTTCTCATACTGTACCGCGATAAATCTAACAAAGTTGCAATTTCTGAGTTTGATTTCCCAGAATTAAAAAATTTTATTATCAGTAACCAAATTTTCTCACTAATAACCTTTCCTCTACCCATTTTGAAAACCTTAACTAACCAAAACTATTTTAAACGTATTCTGACAGCTGTGATTAATAAAAACAATTGTCATGGCTTTTATTTTTCACAGCCACCTATGCGTTATAGACTTATTTTGCATTGAAATGAAAATAGGTTGATATGCTGTAATTACAACATGTGTTATTTTTATGCTGCAAATTTGATTAGGAAGTGATAAACTTGGTGTTTTCTACTGTATATTATCAAAATATTCATTGTTAATATTTTAAACCTATAACACCCTGCTACATTTTTATTATGTGTGTTTGATAAAAAAAACTAAGATTTCAATAGTTGAGCCACCTGAAGAGGGAAGGGGCTCGCATTAGCTTGTCTCCGATTTATGTCTATTCCAAAAAATGGATCAAAGAATTTGTATTAAATTTTGTATAAAAAACAACTTGAAATGCGCGGACATATCCCAAATGTTGACTGTTGCATACGGCGAAGCTACTTTGGACAAAAGCAACGTTTATCGGTGGTACAAAATGTTCTCAGAGGGCCGAGATGTGAGCGACGAAAAGCGTTCCGTCGGCCCGAGCACGTCAACAACAGACGAAAACATTGATGAAGTAAAGAGACTAGTATTGGCCAATCATCGAATCACCGTCAGACAAGTTACTTAGGACCTAAATATATCGATTGGCTCGTACCATTCGATTTTGACCAATAGTTTGGGCATGAGACGGGTCGCCGCGAAATTCGTACCAAAATTGCTCAATGTCGACCAAAAACAAACTCGCATTAACATTGCTCAGGAGCTGTTGGATGTCCGTGACGACCCAAATTTGCTCCAGAGAGTCATAACTGGTGACGCATGGGTTTATGGTCATGAATAAGGAATATTAGCTTCAAGTAATGCGCAATTTGCGAGAAGCAATCCGCCAGAAAGGCCAGGATTTGTGGAAGAACAAAAATTGGCTTTTGCACCATGATAACGCCTCTGCTCATGCATCGTTGCTTGTGCGCGAATTTTTGGCCAAAAACAACACTCCAATAATGCCTCACGCACCGTATTCCGCAGACCTGGTCTCCTGTGACTTTTTCTTGTTCCCGAAACTGAAGAGGCCCATGAAAGGACGACGCTACGCCACGATTGAGGAGATAAAGGCGGCATCGAAGGAGGAAGCTGAAAAAATGATTTTTCGAAATGCTTCGAGGATTGGAAAAAACGTTACCACAAGTGTATAATGTCTGATGGGGATTACTTTGAAGGGGATAAAATAGATATTCATGAATAGATAAATAATTCTTAAAAAAACATGAAATCCGCGATACTTTTTGAACAAACCTCAAGGGATTTATGTCAACGGCTCTTCTACTATTAGCGTATATATGTTCTAACTTACCACCCATTTCACTAACGGGCCCAACTGATAAGCATTTTCCACATTCTACACATTGTAACTTTGAATAGAGTAGGTCACCTTCCGTGACAAACAGAGCTTTCTCCATCACAGAATATTTAATGTGAAGTGAGGTTCGCTAAGTTAGCGTTCTTTGTTATTTACAGACACAAAATGTAATCGTCTTCGATATATCGAATGAAAACAACATAAGTGATCCACTCCAATGGTGATTATGCAGTAACGTATCTACAATCTCATATCTCCCGACAATGACCCAAACGAATGTTTTTCAAGGCTGTACTGTGCTGGTGTCCGGGGAAATAAAATTTCAGTATGAACATTTTTTTAATATTTTAGGAATGGAATTCTAAAGCGTAAGGGCCGTATCGTCAGTCGTTCCTACAATTGCAGGACGCCTTTATGGTCTCCTTGATTTTCATAGTCTTTTCTCGCTTTCAGAAAGACTGGAGTATTTCTAGATTTCTACTGTTCCCTATCAGATTCAGCGCTCTCCTATTGTGAAGTTATGTTTTCTTTTTGAATCGTAGGAAATTTCAGGCTGATAAAACAGATAATACAAAAGCATGAATATTTTTATGCAATTATATGTTTGTAACATAACCTCAAAATAGAGCGCAGACACGGAATAGTAGAAAACTATGAAAATCAAGGAGGCCATAAAGGCGTCCTGCAATTGTAGGAACAACTGACGATACGACCCTAAATAATACAGGGTCTTTCAGTTTATTGTTGCATAACTTTAAGATTCGATAGAACTGTTAAAATTAATGCATAAAGATTATATAAACATGGGTGGAAAAATGCGTGGCTTCCGAAATACAGGGTGTTTAAATTTACTTTCTAAAATAGTTTTTTTTTTAAATATTTCGAATAATATTTGATATATAACAGTGAAAATTGGTATACAAGGGTTTTTTGGTACGACAAAACGAACCATGGGCATATTTTTACTGTAGCCGCTAGAGGGCGCTCCACTGTACCAGTAGTGTATTAAAATGACCGAAAATTTTTTCTTAGTGCAATTTTTTGCTTTTTGAATAAAAAACTGATTCTTCGCACTTTTCAACATAAAAAAGCTCTCTTGTGAATTTTCGTTATAGTTAGCCGTTTTTGAGATATTTCGATTTTTAAGGTTCGATGCATTTTTAATTATTTATGATAAAATAACGTTAAAAAGTCAGTATCTCGATAATTCTTAGAAGTAGGCTGTGCCTGCAAATATTTTTGAAATTGAAAGCAGAGTAACGTTAAACGTCAATTAGTTGACAGTTAGTTTTGTTGTCTGTTGAAATCTGAAACGTTTTTTTGCAATTGTGAATGCACGAAATTTAGTTTCTTTTACCTGTTTTTTTTTTGTAAGTTTTATAAAAATGCCATTTTTATTCTCCAATCAAGAGTTAGCGGATATTCATTTTGTGTATGGCTTTGTAAATGGAAACGCAGCAGAAGCAGCCAGAGAATACGCACGAAGATTTCCAAACAGACGACATCCAACTCGCTCAGTATTTGTAAGAGTGCATCGCCAAATAATTGAAAATGGTTTTGGAAATCTCCAAAGGGATCAAAACATAAATGTTCGTCAGCGCAGATTTACCCGTATGATTCTGCGTGAGTTTGATAGAGATCCGACCACAAGTGTTAGGAGAGTTTCTGGAATTTCAGCAAGCCATGTTCACCGTGTTCTTAGAAATTACCATAGACGTCCTTACCATTTGCAACCTGTACAAGGACTACAGCCAGGGGACGGAGAACGAAGAATCTCATTTTGATAGAACTGATAATAATAGGTAGTTTTTAAGTAACGTTTTATGGACCGCATGCAGTTCGGGAAAGAAATATTCAGCATGAATTTAGTGTGAACGTGTGGATTGGTATCTACCGTAATCGACTTTGGACCCTACCTTTTGCCTGCAAGATTATTGGAATTTTTATAGGCTAAACATGCAAATATGTGGGATGATGTTATGTTAGATTTAAGAAGATTGGCCTGGTTCCAGCTTGATGGTTGTCCAGCTCATTATTCGAGAATATGTAGTTAGAAACTGGCTGGACGAAAATTATCCAGAAAGATGGATCGGCCGTGGAGGACCAGTCGCCTGGCCTCACGATCCACTGACCTAAATCCATTAGATTTCTTTGTGTGGGCATTTCTAAAAGAAAAAGTATACCAGACTCCCGTAACCACAAGAGATATGCTAATAGACAGAATCAGGAATGCATGTGATGAAATAAGGCCTTATTTGAATATTGCTATACCACGTTCGATCATTCGTAGATGTGAATTGTGTATTGAACAATTGGGTTTACATTTCGAGCAACTACTTTAGATTTTGTATGTTTGTCCTAACTATCCAATATCATTTTAGTTGTAAATAATTAATTTAATTTGTTCAAAATAATATTGGAAAATTAAACAAATTAATATTCTGTTTTTTGTGTTTATTTGGAGTTAGGAATTATTGCTGTGTTTAAAAACACAATATAAACGATCATCTTAATTACTTGTAATGCCCAAATCGAAAATGTAAAAAAAAAATTTATTTTCCCATAAATAATTAAAAATGCATCGAACCTTAAAAATCTAAATATCTCAAAAACGGCTAACTATAACTAAAACTCACAGGAGAGTTTTTTTATGTTGAAAAGTGCGAAGAATCAGTTTTTTTATTCAAAAAGCAAAAAATTGCACTAAGAAAACATTTTCGGTCATTTTAATACACTTCAGGTACAGTAGAGAGCGCCCTCTAGCGGCTACAGTAAAACTACAATACTACAATAAACTGAAACACCCTGTATAATAATAAAATATGATCCACGTAAGGTCGTTTCAATGCTACGCTAGTGTTATATGTATATTATCCGTCAATTTTCAGACACGCACGAATGTTTGGAAATTTTCTCTGGAGGTATGTGTAGCTTCGAAGTTTCACATGACAAAGTTCCCGCTTTCGTTAACCCTTGTTACAAGCTAACTAAGCCCGGTTTACTGGAACAACTTGGACTCTGATCTCAAATGTACCCATTAAAGAATCATGAATCCTTATTTACAATAGGAACACATAATCGAAACTGCAGATGCGTATCAATCAAAATTTCTATTTTCGCCGCCGCCTGCCGTTGTATTGAAGTGGTGTGAAGCGGGGCTTGCTCCAGTTCTTTCGCGTCTCTTCCAGATATCTTACGAATCCGGCACCTTCCCAGAAAATTGTAAATTTGCTCATGCCCAACCCATCCCAAAAAAGGATTTAAAATCGATCCTTGCAACTATAGGCCTCTAGCTCTGCTTTCTGTAATATAAGTCAGGTGATGGACAGGTGCACAAATCGGGAGCGTCTGGAGTACCTAGAACTTGATTAGCGATAGGCAGTATGGTTTTCCGGCACCAGCGATCTACAGGGGACCTCCTAGCTTACGTCATGCAATTGTGGAGTAAACTCATCCAGTCTTATGGTGAATCTCATAACGTTGCTTTTGATATCACGAAAGCGTTCGATCAGCTGTGACATGCTTCGCTGTTATGCAAGCTTCCGTCCTATGACCTCCTAGTAAATCTTTTCATCGGGGTGATTGAGTTTCTCTCTGGCTGCAAGATATCCGTCGCAATTGACGGGTTCTCCTCTTCAAACCACTAGGCAACGGGGCTGTTTCCCAGGGATCGGTCTTGACTCCAGCACTGTTCCTCTTAAATATCAACGTCCTTCTTTTCTGTATGAATAGGGGATTGCTATAGTCCTCAAACAATAATAAAGTATTGGGAACCCCTATTTGGGCCACAAAAGATTTAGGCATCCCCCCCGCTCTTCAATTGGCAATCGGAACAACCCTCCCCCCGAGAACAGTAGTATTTTTGACTTTGCTATGTGATTTGTAAGGGGTCCCTTGTAGGCAGAGACTAATACTATTGAAATCGAAAAGTTAGGCTGGTACCTTTCCAAGTTATGTATGGGCCAAGGATTAGCGGACAGACGGACTGACAGTCAGACAGACAGACGGAAATGAGTGACGGCTTTTCGTGATGTACATGTCATATAACATAAAAAAAAATTTCTCATTTTTAAATTTTTTCACTATTACAATACTTCCTCGCCAATAAAATGCAGTTAAGCAGATAGACTGAGCACTGACCGTGCATTAATATAAATCTATAGTTATAGTGCATAATATGCAAATGCAGAACCTTTCAAATTTTGAAACTGTATTATTATACTGACCAGTAGATTTGAAAAATGTCAGAAATTGGGGCTGTTTGGAATGGTTTTGGATGCAATAATTGGGAATTTTAAGAATTACTTCTCACTTATTGGCGATGGGAGTATTTGGTCGCGATTTCTTTTCTTTATGCCCGTAGTATCATTCTGTCTGCTTGCGCGTTTATAGCCGCCTAAACACTGCTGCACCGCGCACCAACTTAAAAAAAGTTCTTATAAAATATGGGTCAAATTGAGTTAAGACCTTAAACGTTCGTCATAAACAGTAAGCTTACAGACGGCCCCAAATTAAACCAGGGACGTAGAAACTGGGGTACCTGAAACCCTAATAATAGGAAATATTTTCTAGGCCATTGGCCATTTCTGAGAAAAGAAGTGCATTTTATAAAATACCATTCGATTTTCCAAACATTTTGTCTCTCAAGGAATTTTTGTCAGATAACTCGTTTTGGAGATATTTAGGTTTGGATATTTGAGGTAAAATCCTAGAAGATTCGAAAAGGTTTAGCCTCCCTTATTCGGAAATCACCGTGAAGCTTGATATTGGAAACACTATAAGACATGTGGAGAAAGGTATGGCACCCTCATTACAACATTAATTGAATAATATGCGTGTCATATCCTCAATCAATAGCTTACCATTCACGCCACTGGTTATACCGGCATATCTATTTTTGGTGATAGATAAGGGAACTTCAAAGCAAAGATAATGTTCCTTTCAAAAATAAATACAGCTAATAAGAATCACAAAAGTAATTGATACAATTTACGTTGTTATTTCTAAATTTATGATGGACATAATATTGGCAACAAAAAATAATGCTGAATAAATGCTATAAAATCCAACCTAAAGGAATGTAGAAAGTGGCCACCTGTG